AGGCCAAGGGTCCTGACACTCTAGGCCTGAGAGCTGTAAAACTAGTTGCTGTGAAGCTGAGGGCCCCAGCATCTGAGGTCCATTCAAAAGCTGTAACAATAGCAGGTGTCTCCTGTTGCTGACTGCTGCTGCCACTTGCTGATGCTAGAAGCTGAGAATTACAATAGCTGCTGAGTGCCAGGGCTACTAATGGTTAAAGCCCAGAGCAATAAGCCTCCTGTCCCTTTATGACTGAATGAACAAACGAAGTGGGGTATACATAATACATACGCTGGAATACTATTCAGTCTACAGTGGAAGACAATTTCTATACAAGCTGCACCATGGGACATGAACTTTGAGGGTGTCCTGCTGAATGAAAGAGGCCAGTCACAAGAAGACAAATGCTGTACTGAGCTACTTACCTGCAGAAGCTAGAGTGGTCAAATTCATAGAGAGAAAGTAGAATGGTGGTTGACACTGGCTGAAAGCAGGAAAAAGTGTGGAGTTACTTCATAGGTTCAGAGGTTCCCTTTTGCAGGCTATGGTAGTGATTCAAATGGTAGAACACCTGCCCAGCAAGCCAGAAGACCCCAGGTTCAAACCCCAGTGCCACCAAAAATAAATAAATAAATAAAATAAAAGCTCTCCAGAATTTCAGTTTTGCAGGATGAAAAGCATTAGGAGGGTGGTGATGCCTACACAGTGTGAACATGCTTAGTGCCATTGAACCATACACTTAAAATGATTGAGATGGTAAGTTTATGTTTATTTTATAATAAAAACGTCTTTTGAAAACTAATAGTGTTACAATAAAATTATATTTCAAAAAAGTTCTCTGATCTGGGAATCAAGTATGCTGGGTACCTCACTGACAAGGAGACTGGGTGTAGTCTTAGATGCCAGTTAGCACTTAGTGGAAAAAAGAACAGTATTAACCATGAGGGCTTCCTGGAGGAGGTAAAGTGGTTGAACTAGGCCAAAGGAGAAAGATTCCAGTGGTTCCACCACAGTGTCACCTGGGTCCTGCTCTTAGCTCACTTTTTCATGGTTTCCAGGGTGACTGGGGAGCTTAGAATATCCACATTGCTGTCACCTGGGAACCAGGAACTGGTGACTGTAGCCACTGTCCAAGTCCTTCCCATCATCCTGGGCCCTTATCTCTGACATGGGCTCTGTTCTACCCAGGTAGAGGGGCCTAGGAGGGAGGCACCTGCCACCTGCTTCCCTTCTCAGCTTCCCACAGGCCTCCAGGGGCTGACTGGGACTCCTGCTGATGTAGGTAAGACCACAGAAAACACTGGATGGACCAGGCAAGGCACAGATGACTTCCTGTCCTGGGCACCTTCCCCTCTGTACCCACTCTTGAAAGATGCTAGGGCATAGGGGGTAGCCAGAACCGACTCTGGTCCTCAGGGGACTCATGGCCTGGTGCAGGAGACAGCACTCACCTCCTTCTTTCAACATCCATGTTGGTTGCTGGGACCCAAACTTTTTGAGGTCTAGGTCACTCATAGCTGGAAGCAGGAGGGCCACAGAAGATGCCATTGCCATACCCTACCCCACTGAAGTCACCTGTCAGCACCAAAGCTGCCTCTCTGAATTCTGCAACTCTCTGTGACCTGAGCAGTGGCTCTCATCTGTGGTGAGGAGGCATGAGTTCCTAAACCTTAGTGGTGCTGCCTCTGAGACCCACCCTATAGAGAGAGCCCTCTGGACTTCCCAGCAGTCTGAACTCCGGCTGTGCTGTTGCTGGGGGACCTTCTTCCCTGACGTTCCCCTTCCCTACGTCCCTCCTGCTAGTTCCTGGGATCAGCCTCCAAATAGGTCACTCAAATGTTTGTTGTCAGCACTGGCTTCTGGGGGAACCCAGGCCAAGACAGGCATGGTTACATATGTCGGGAATGCTCAGGGAGACCCAAGCCAGGATCAGTAGCAAAGCCCCGTGGAGCCAAGGGGGTGGAGCAGGGATCTGGCTGCCCAGGGCTGGGCGCATTCATAAAACTGGCTGAAAGTTGGCCTGCTTTACATTATCGCCAGAAGCCAGCAGTTCCCACCAGCTTCTGTGATAAAGACCTCCTCCTCCTGGGGCTGATAGCTCTCACTAGTACATACCCACCCCTTGGCAGCCAAGCAACGCCCAGAGCACTGAGGGGAGAATGATCAGCAGAGGGCAGGAGGTGAGACAGGGCCTCTCAGGCAGACGGAGTCAGTTGCACTTCACACCTCCATGCCTCTGCACATGCTGTTCCCTTTTTATCAGAACACCTTTTGTTCCTTGTAATCTTCTGTGTACTTGGCATCTCTTCATCCAAGCAGCCCCGCTGGAGTTAGATGCCCCTTGTGAGCTTGCACAGGGCTCTGAGCACTCCTCTAGCATGGTGGTTTTCACACTGGGCTGCCTTTATAATTTATTACTGTTTGACAGTGAGATCCATAGGAGCAGGAACTTGTTTACTAGGCCTAGCTCACAGTGCACACTTAGGAATGGGGCTACCACTGGGTAGGCACTTTTGTGCAATGCACAGCCCACACCACCATCCATGGCAGCCTAGTCTGTGAAGGATGAATGAATGAATGAATCTGTGGGAATTTTCCATAATTAGGGAAGGATATTAAGAAGCTGAAGGGACAGACTAAGCAATATCAGAGAAGACTGAAAGTAGAGGGCTTCTTGGTGGAAATGGTAAATAGCTTTCTGTCACAGGAAGTATAACTCAGAGGGAGTGCCCTGGCCACAAGTTTAGCATCACACAGAGTGTGGTCAACATACCTTCACGCCTCCTCAGACCCGCACATCCAGAATCTCTACAGATGGGCCTCAAGAACCCAGGCATCCCAAGGAAGCATCCCTAGGAACACAAAGTTTGCAGAGGTAAAGGGCCAGTTGACTGCATGGTGTTAAAGGGGTCAGGCTGGCCCAGCTAGGTTAGGTGTAGACCGACAATTCTCGCCTTCAATATTCATGCTTTCTTTTCAGGAACTAAGTCCTGAGCCCAGAAGGCACTGGGTACAGCTGTGCACCAGACAGACATGGCCCCTGCTCCCTTGTCACAGTCTAGTAGGAAGCAAAAAGTAAATAAATAAGCATCTGAATAAATACTCAACATGGTGCCCAGTTATATGGAATGCTGTGCAGAAACAGCACAGTTAGGGGATGAGGATCAGAGGAGGTAACACTGGAGCTGGGTGACAGGGAAGCTCTCTGTGTGGTGAGTGGGGGACAAGGGAAGAAACTACTTAAAATGAAGGATAAAGCTTGAAGATGTTTGGGAAAAGAATATTGCAGGCAGAGAGAACAGTGCTGTTGGCTCTCTGCACAGTTGGTTCTGAATCCACGGATTCAACCAACAACAGGTTGAAAATACTCAGAAAAATCGCAATTGGACTGAACATATATGGGCTTTTTTCTTGTCCCTATTCCCTAAGTAATACAGCATGACAACTATTTGTGTGACATTTACACCATATTAGCATTACAAGTCATCTAGAGATGATGGAAGGTATGTGGAGGATGTGCATAGGTTATGTGCCAAGACTGTTCCATTTTGCATAAGGGACATGAGCAGCTGCATATTTGGGGGAGCATGTCCTGGGGCTACTCCTTAGATTTACTGAAAGACAATGCCTATATGCTCACAGACATGGGAGAGGGGGACTGCTTAGGAAGTTGCTGAAATAGTACAAGTGTGAGGTGCTGGAGGATTAGATGGGAGAAGCACTTGTTCAGATTCAGAATGTATTTGGAGGATAGAACTTTGACATGGGGGTGAAAGAAAGGGGAAAGAGAGGGGGTGAGAGGACACTTGGAATTGATGTCAGAAGGTGCAGAGTTGGTGGGCCAGGGCTTAGGAGACCATATGGAGGCTCCTGGGGGTGGATTTCTTTCCTTTAAGTGTGGTGGGAACTCAGGTTTTGAGCCAAGGTAACTAGTTTTCTAACAGAATCTCTCTGGTTGCAGGGTGCAGGACAGACTGTAGGCAGACGGGGATGAAGTTCATAGAGGTTGCAAAGCATCCAAGTGAGAGGTGACAATGGTGTGGGCACATGTTAACTGGGGAAACTAAACTTGAGTAAAAACAATGAAATTGGACTCCAATAGGTGGTCAGATTCATGAAGGAGATATGCAAATTACTGAAATTTGATAGTTGGTCAGAAACTCCAACTCTGCAGTCAGCAGTTGTCCGATCCATTTTGTCACTTTGCAAAATGTGATGATGCGGTGGGGGGGAGGGGGTGCCAGACACTTGTAATCCAAACTCTTCAAGAGATGGAGATTGGGAGGATCTTGGTTTGAGGCCAGTCTGGGCAAAAAGTTAGCAAGACTCCATCTCAATGAACAATCCAAGCGTGGTGGACCATGCTGTAATCTCAGCTATGGGGACATGTACATAGGAGGATCATGGTCCAGCCCTGGGCAAAAAAAAGCAATCGAAAAATAACTAAAGCAAAAAACAGTGTGTGGGAGGGACAATAAAAGAACGTGTCCCATAAAATCTGTTGAGAGGGTGATATAAAGGTTTGGCACAGGCTGTAGGACACCAGCAACACGTAATAAATGCAAGCCTAGTTCCAGTACTATCTCTGCCACTCACTGGCTGGCTGTGCCTCAGTTTCCTCATCTGTGAAGTGGTACTACCATTAATACCAACTGCAGGGACGGTTCAATAAATGAATTTAAGAGCACGGAGAATAAGGAGGCACATGGCAGGGCTCCTGCGTGCTAACCATTATTATGAACATATTTTAGCCACGTTTCTTAAGTTCTTCCCCAGCCTAGCCCACCCCACCTTGAGGATGGCGACTATAGTTGGCAGCAACGTGGGACTCTCCGAGTACACATCTCCCTCCGTGTGGCCAACCTGCCGGCTGCGGGAGATTTGGAAACCCCAGTTTTAAGCGGCCCGGCCCGGCCTGTGCACTGCCTAGCGGAACCTTTTTGAGTTGCGCTCGCGTTTCCAGCCCGGACGTTTAGAGTTGCTGCGTCGGCGCTGAGCGCTACTTCCGGCGCCGCGCCCCCACCCGCCGGGCTTCTCCATTTTGGGCGCAGGTGGAGACCAGGACAGAACCAGCGGAAGCTGCAGCTGCTGGCAGGCAGTGTGCCTCCCTCTTTCGGCGGGAGCCGCGGGCCCTCATGGCGGGCTTGGAAGTGCTCTTCGCGTCAGCCGCGCCGGCTATCACCTGCACGCAGGACGCGCTCGTCTGCTTCCTGCACTGGGAGGTGGTGACGCACGGCTACCATGGCTTGGGCACCGGCGACCAGGTACGCCACGGAGCCGGCGTTGTCCTCTGCCCAAATCCAGAGGCCTGATGGCCAGGTCCGAGGCGCCAGAGGCTACGGACACCATGGGTACTGCCTGGGGGTCGGGGCGCCCACCTGCCCGAGGCTCCCCAGCACAGCCGGCATCACGTGACTTGTAGCCCAGCCATAGGAAGTGTTTTCAGCGCAGTCCGCAGTCTCGGGCCAGGACAGTGTGGATCTGGAGCCCAGGCGGGTGTAGGGTATCTAGGGTCCTCGCCCGCTCGTCCCCTCCAAGCAGAGTGGGTTGGGGGACACTTGTCTCTCGGCACTGCCCTCTTACCGAACTCCAGCCGCCACCAGGTGTCCTAACCCAAGCGCGGGTATGGGGCCCACTTCAGCCCAGTCAGCCCCAGGCCTGGCTCCTTCTTCACCGTGCAGCGCAGGCCCACAGCCCACACACCTCACCCTTTACAAAGTGCAGCGGAGGCGGCTCACTGCTGTCACCTCTCTACTCACCCCGGCTCTGGTTCTGGGACCCCTCTTTCCCCTCACACACCTACACACATACTCCTCCACTGTGAGGTCCTCTCCAGAGCTGCCCCCATCAAGCCAGCTCTTCCTATCCCATACTCTGATTCTGCCTTTTAACAGCTGGGACCCACCCACTAATCCTTCTCTCAGTCATTCCCCATTTTTTCCTTTTGACTCTCACCCTCCACATCAGCTTCTCAGGAGAACTGGGCTTGACCCACCTTCCTTTCTCATCCACTCTTATCCGAGAAAATGTCCTCCAATTCACACTCGGTCCATGCATATACTTGGGCCTGTTCCTGTCACTGTCCTATCTGTCCTATCACTCAGAACCAAGACCAACTCTGGGGAGCAAGCCACTTCACCCCTTGCATCTTGCATTGAGATTTTTAAAAAACTTCCTCTCGTTTCTCACTGCTTCAGTTCTTTACCCCCTGAATACTTTTTTAGCTTGTCAGAAATGCAGCAGACTTACTAATTTTCCTCTCCTCATACAGCTTTATGGATTCCTCCTCAAACACACTTTGTACAATATTCTGAGTACTTACCCAGAAAATCCCCCAATCCCCCATGATGTTCCCATTTCTCTCTGTTCTGTATAACTAGGACCAAGACTACTGTACACCTTTTACACTTTACCCCCATCAGCAGGAACCAGTGTACAAGGACTGTCATTGATTTCTGGCTCCTTTTTTAGTTAATTAAGCATCACATTTCTCCCTGGGACCCCCAGATACACACTCAGTGTCCCCACTCCCACCTTCAGGCTCATCATCCATCCTTCACATGGATTGGTAGAATTGGAAACAAGGCTAGAAAAGAACGGCTAGTCTTAGACCATTTCTTCTTCCCACATTCATTTGTCACTGGCCTTTGTTCACACTGCACTTCATTCCCCTTACCTTGCCATTCAGCATTTCAGACCTTGGGACTAGGTAGAGATGGCCCCCTACCCCCATTCCCAAGTGTCAGGCTCCTCTTTCTGTGCATAGTCCCCACAATAGAAACCTGTCTCACCCCACTCCAGCTTTCTCATCTTGTAACAGCTCTCACTTGGAGTTAGACTTGGTTTTGACCTTGGAATTCCCCTATGGACCCCAATCTTCCCTGATCTCTACCCCTCTTCATGTACCTTTTTCCCCTTACACCCAGCCAGCTACCTCTCTGTCAGAACCCCTTCCTGCTCTCCCTGCAGGACAAGGAGCTTGTTACTGCCATCCTGTCTGACCCTCTTCTCTCACTGCTCTACAGACATTTACTAGCACAGAAGACCTGTTCTCACCACTTGGCATTATTTCTTACCAAATACTCCAGCTCCACAATTACCAAGGGAAATGTAAAAGGAAGAATACAGTCTCATTTTGATACTCTTTTTTTTTTTTTAAAGGCCCTTGACAGATCCCAGCAGGTCTGTCAACTGTTCCTGGATACCATATATTGAGCTCCTGAGGGCCAGAAAACGATGCTGGCTCCAGACATGTTTGGGGATTCAAGGAGCCTGGGGAATGGGAGTTTCGGAAGCCATTGCCTGCTGCCTCTATGTTCACCCAGCACAAAATCTACATGCTATGTGAGGGGATGGTGTTTGGGTTGCATGCAACCTAGAATGTGCTATATTTTTGCTTTTCTCTGCCCTTTCTCCAAAGTGCCTTCAGCGCTCAGGTTTCACTTGTCCTCTCACTTCTGCTTAGGCAACTCTCAGTGTAGAAACTGTTTGGGGAGGCTTCTTTCCTGTTAGGGTCTTTAAGACGGGCCAGCAGACTCAGCTGAAACCAGTAGTGTTTGTCACTCCCAGAGGATGTTTGTATTGCCTCTGCAGCCACTCCCTCACACCCTTCTAGGGTAATAAGAGGGAACCCATGTCCTAAGAGTGTGCTTGACAGTATAATCCATTAACAGTTAAATAGTTCTTTGGTTTTGCCTCCTGTGACACAGTGGGACTGTATGTAACACTTGGTTAGAAGAGCAAAGCATCCATTGTCTTCGACAAAAATCCAGCATTTGAATTTGGTTATTCTTGTTCCTTATAAGAGCTTTACAACTGTATTAAGTACATTAGGTGGCAGGGGAGTGGAGATGGCCATAGACAGAAAATGCTGTTTTCTGCTGTGGGAATCCAAGAATTACAAAGAAAGAGAAAATGCCCAGAATGATCTGTTCGAGTTTCTCTGGGTGCATTTTAGCCTAGAGGCAGCAAGGTGAGCTCAATGACCATTAAAGAATGCTTCCAGCCCTTGGATTTTGTCTAAGATGACAATTGTCTTTACTTCCTTGGGGCCAGTCTGGTGAACCCAGCCATAGTCTGGGCAAGCAGGGGCTCTGAATTCCAAACCCAGCTGTACACTTGACTTACTGTGAGTCTCAGCCCCTCAGGCCTTAGAGTTTTCATCCAAGGGAGTTAAACTATGTACCCATGTACTTTGGCTACTTTCCACACATAGCTTTCTGGGACACTTGATAGGTGTTTCATCTCAGGCCCAAAGGGCAGTCAGATGCTGTGTGTCACCTGATAATAGCAGGGCTTGTCCCTTGAGCCCCACCTCTGTTTTGGGGGAAACATCAGCTTGACCACAACGAGGGGCATCAGCCTTTCTGACCCTGGGGCTTCTCCCTTTTTCTGGAAGCAAAGTTGATGGGATGGTGAGCAGACCAATTAGGTCTACATTCCAAGGAGAGTTTGATGGATTGAACTCGGTGCATGGAGAATAGAATAGAAATTGTCAGAGCAAAGGAAAGGCTGCCATCAAATCCCTGGTTCCTAAAGTAAACCACTACAAGAAGTTTACCCAGGTTGGGAGAGGGGGAGTTTCTCTTTCTTAGCTGTGTAGCTTGATTAGTTTCACTTTTGTTTTTGGTAGTTCTTATTTCTGTGCTTCAGGCCTGTGAATTTCCAGTCAGATTTAACCATGCCAATTGGAATTTTATTTGGGATCATGTTCTCCATGAATTCCCAAGCTCTAAAGAAGTGAGGCCAGTAGTTCTTACTGCGAGAATGTTCTGTCTTTAGCAAGAGCTTTTTACAGTCTCAAGTGTGGCATATTTTGTCTTTTATGGCTGTTGTTAAGAGCTCTTTCCCCACTAGCAATCACTGTTTCTGGTTTAATGTATGAAAGGAGTCTTAGGATTATTAAAAAGGAAAAAGAAAGACATCACAGCTCACAGTAAGACACATTCTACATTCACTAGGTTGTCAAGTATTAAAAAGTTGGATGTTAGCAATGTTGCTGGTCATGGGGAGCACCAGGAGCTCTCTCACATTGCTAGTGGGAGTGTCCATCCGTGTCTTTTTTGGTAATCAGCTTGCCTTTGTCTTATAAATTAAGTTATTCCTTCAGGCATCCTCTATAGAAATGCATGTGTACCAGATGCATACAAGAATGTTCATAGCAGCGTTGTCTGTAATGGCAAAAGAAGTAAGCTGGAAACATTTGTATTGTTCATCTGCCAGTGAATGTGTAAATTGCAGGTAGTTGTGAGTGGGAATCAACAGTAGTTAAGTGTATTCACATGATGGATCTCTGAAAACCAATGTGAGTAAAACAGGCAAAACATTTGAAACATCTTATTTTTATGGTTACATGTATACCAGTGTATCTTGAAGGAAAAGTACAAGAGCTTTAAAAATACACAGCAGTGGCTACTCTTGAGGGGGAAATGTCAGGTTCCTTGGAGCTTGCTACCAGGGCTTTAGTGATGATGTTAGTGACTGGTGAAATTCTGTTTCCTAAGCTAGGTAGTTACCTAGGTGTCCATTTTATAATTTTATCTTGTATGTGCTATGTTTGGGGCAGGTTTGAAAGTTTTTCCTAATGTGTGTTAAACTGCTGTAGTTCGGAATCCACACTAGGATCTGTGTTTTAGCCAACATCCTAACTGTGACCTGTTGCAAATGGCCTGGGGCCCCAGTTTTGAAAAGCACTGCTTTAGATTTTCAGTGTCCCTTGAGATGGTTGGCCTTATCCTTGGCAGGATAATGGAGAGGAGATGATTATTAAGCCAGTCTGCAGATTCTTGACAGGTACCAGTGCTGTGTCATAAAGGCAGCTAGATACTTTGGTCCTAGACATCTACCTTGCTTTATGTCCTTGGGTCCATTAGTTTGTTTGACCTGTATAGCCTCGTCTGTGACATGTAGAGTAGGGTTAGATTATCTGTGAGGTCTTCTATAGCTCTATCCTGAGGTCATGATCTTTCTCCTTTCATCAGCCAGGCCCCAGTGATAAGCAGTCAGAACTGCTGCCTGCTGGGTGGAACAGCAATAAAGAGCTGTATGTCCTCCGCTATGAGTCCAAGGATGGGTCCAGAAAACTCCTCATGAAAGCTGTCACCATGGAGAATAGCATGATCATCAACGTGCTGGTGAGTCTAGACCTGTGTGGGGTCTGCTGAAGGCGTGACGTTGAGGTCAAACCCACTGATCTTACTTCCAAAACTTTACCCTAAAAATAAAAGAGCTTGTGCTCAAAACTGTTTGCTGCCTGTTAGAAAGGAGGGACTTTGTGTGCCCAGGAATGGTTAAATAAGTTAAAGCAAACCGTTCAGTGACAAGCGTAAGAGAGAAAGGCTTACTGTAGCCCCAGTGGGCTCTTTTAGCTTAAATAAGTTCTTTGTTACCTTGGAACTGTTTACATTCTATGTTTCTTATGCTACAAACTACCCCACCACCACTACCTGCCATTCCACATACATACATATCCTTTGCCATTCTTTCAGCTGCCTAAGTCTCTTTTTTCACTTATTCAAAGAGTTCAGTCCCAGGGTTGGGCACAGTGGCTCATTAATTTAATCCCAGCTACTTGGGAGGTGGAGATAGAAGAATCGTGGTTTGAGGCCAACTAAGGCAAAAAGTTAGCGGCATCTTATCTTAGCAAACAAGCCAGGTATGGCTCACACCTGTAATCCTAGCTATTTGGGAGGTGGCGGTAGGAGGGATCACAGTCTGAGGCCAGCGCCTGGCAAAAGTATAAGACCCTATCTGAAAAATAACTAAGGCAAAAGGGCTGGGTGGGGGTAGGGGGAGACAAGACCCTGAGTTCAGTCCTCATTACCACCTAAAAAAGAAAAAAAGGTTCGACCCTGACTACCTATCCCTAGTTATCAGGAAAATTTAAATTATGCCTCCTCTATTCCATCATTTTATTTTCCAGGCTAGTACTTATCACATCTTGTAATTGTATACTTATTTGTGTTTTGCTTTAATGTCTAAATTCTGCGAGTGAACTGTAAGCACTGTTTTTTTGTTAAGTTTTGTCTTGGTTGTCTGTATGTGTTCAAATGGAAGTATCCTGCTCTATTCACTACTCTTTGCTTTTTCCATTTGCTCGTTTTAACTGCTATATAATGTTCCATCATCCCTTCCCTTATTGATAATCATTTAGGTCTTAGATACCAGACAGGTTTCTTTGTTGCAAGCAATAAAATTCTTCCAGGTTCATTTAAGCAGAAAGTGTTTATTGAAAGAACTCACAGATAGCTTATTGAGACAGGTTCAAATCTGACTTGGAGAAGCAGTGCTCCAAACCTTAAAAACCACTGGTGTCGCCCCTCCAGCCTTAGGTACTGACTGGTACTATTCAGCCACTGGTGTTGTGACCCCTGCACCCTCATTAGCAAGACGTTTGCTCCTTGCCAGGCCTTCTTCTCCACGTTGCTCCAAGTCACAGTATGCATCCATTGGGCACCTCAGCTACACACCTGTGCCCAAGTTGCAGAAGAACTTGGGAAGATGATTTTCTAGCATTAGGAAGGCAATATTCCTAAACCAGAGAAGTCACTAAACGTTAGAAGAAAATCTCATATATTGGAAAGAGCCCTTACGTATGTGTCTTCGTAAGCATATGTGGCAAATTAGGTTGCATCTCATTCTCCCATTCACACACTCATTAGCCCAGAAATACTGAAATACCACATCTCTTACTTTATATTTTCATTTTTCTAGGAATATGGCTCCCAGCAAGTGGCAGACTTGACCCTGAACTTAGATGATTATATCAATGCAGAAGACCTGGGTGACTTCCACAGGTACTTCTAAATGATGTCTTTCCCCTAGGAAAAGGAAGAATGAATCAATGGCAAGAAACAAGGAATGGGCTTGAAGTACGAAGAGAATCAATCAGTTCTCGTTTCTGTTTCTGTTTATTTGAAGAGAAGACACACATAGGAAATGCCTCATGAAGTAAAATGATGCAGTCAGATGTCCACAGATCCCAGCCGTAGTGGTGATGGAGTTGGGCCAGGCCAACTTGTTTAATAAAAGTGGGCTCCTGAGAGGAGATGTGCCTAATCAGGTCCCCACTCCGCCCCCAACTTTCCTCTCTTTTTTCAGTAGTCTTTGTTTTTAAGAGAAGTTTTAGGTTCACAGTAAAATAAAACAAAATGCAGGGTTCCCACGTACCTGTTGCCTCTCCCAGCACCAGAGCTTTATCTCTCTTACAGTTGATAACATACACTGACTCATTGTTATGGCCTAAAGACTGTGCTCCACAGTAGGGCTCACATTCTCTGTTTTACACATCCTGTGGATTTAGACAAATGCATAATGACGTACATTTATCATTGTAGTATCATGGAGTAGTTTCACTCCCATGAAAATCCTCTCTGCTCCACGTATCCGTTCTTCTTCCACCTTATCCCCTGGAAGCCACTGATCCTTGTTACTACCTCCATAGTTTGCCTTTCTGAATGTCATGTAATTGGAAAATGATCCTAAATAAACTGTCTTCCAAAGCAGCTGTGCCATTTTGCATTTCCATTAGTAATGACAGAGTTCCTCTTGTTCTTTGTCCTTGCCAACATTTGATGATGTTGGTACTTAGGATATAAGTCATTGATTGTGGTACCTCGCTGTTTTAATTGGTAGTTCCCTAGAAATAGAAAATAGCATCTTATGCTTAGCTGCTGTCTGTATTTCAATTTTAAACTGCTTTTTTCATTTTCTTACTGAATTTTAAGAGCTCATTATATATTTTGGATAACAGTTCTTGACCTGACATATTTTGCAAATACTTTCTCCCAGTTCTGGGGCTCTTCTATGCATTCTCTTGGCATCTTAATCTTTTTATTTTGAAATTTTCAATCCACAGGAGAGAGATATTTTGCAGAAATATATAGTGAACATCCAGTGAACCTTATAATCACCTATTTTTAACATTTTTTTTCACTTGCTTAATGTTTCTGTTACTATTTATTCTTGAACCATCTGAAAATTATTTGCAGACTCAGCCTTTAAATACTACAGCGCACAGCTCCTTGTTGTTAAGGGCATCCTCCTACCTAACATTAATCCAGTTGTCACACTTAGGAATGAGGCACTGATATAATAATATCATTTAATGTACAGTCCAGTTCAGATTTCTGCAGTCATCCCAACAATGTCTTTTACAGCTTGGTCATTTGTTTTTGTTTTTTTTTTCTTTTCTTTTTCTTTTTGTGGTGCTAGAGATCAAACCCAGGGCCTCAGGCCTTTAGGGAAGCACTCTACCACTGAGACAGACCCACCCAGCGCCAACATTTATATTTTTGAAGAATTAGGTCCGTTGTGCCAAATGTTCAGATTGTAACCATATGATTGATACATCAGATTGTTTCCTCATCATTTGATTCAGGTTAAATCTTTTTGACAAGAACATGAAGTGAGCTCATATCCTCCTCAGTGCTTCAGCTGAGACCTGATGATCTGTGGTGATCACCGATGCTCTTAAATTGGATCACTTGGTTAAGACAGTATCTATCAGCTCTCTGTGAAGATGTCTGTTTTCCTTTATGTTTCATACATAAGCTGTGGTTACTTTGGGAGAGTGTGACTACTCTGTTTCCTAATGGTCTTTTGCCCACTGAATGTAGCATCAGTGGTTCTTGACTGAATGAGTTATTGCAAGGATGATTATAAGATAGTAATTTTCGATGTCTCTTATTCTTTCGGTTAGGCTTTTTTTTTTTTTCCAATAAAGAGTTTGCTAGTCTCCCTGTCCCCTTTATTTTTGTGGATTTGGATTCTTTTTTGTAACTTAATGTTATAATCCATTTCTGCCATTCTTTGAATGTTCAAGCTGTCCCAGAGTCAACAAATAGAAGGCCCTGTCAGCTGGCTCTTTTGTCCTTTTGACAGCATCTTTGAACATTTTTTTATGTCCTGGCACAGTAAGATATTTGAGCGCACCTTATACTTCCTTTGCTTCTGCCTTGGAATCATCTATTTCACTAAAAAGCCTGCCTTTATTTTTTTGGCGGTACTGAGGTTTGAACTCAGGTCTTCACACTTGCTAGGTAAGTGCTCTACCACTTAAGCCACTCAACCAGCCCCTTTTGTCAGTGTAATGAAGTTACCTGTTTGATACATGGTTAAGCCCACTTATTTCTGCTTTATTTCATTTCAGGGCCTTTCTCCCCCTCTCCCCCAATTTTTGTTTACCTCCTCAGAATTTTAGAGGAAGTTTTGCATCACTGTAAAGTTGCAGTCATCAAAAATTAACTGAAGGACTGGGCTTGTTGGCTCAAGCTGTAATCCCAGCTACTGGGGAGGCAAAGATTGGGAAAATCATGGTTAGAGGCCAGTCCAGGCAAAAAAAAAAAAAAAACCTGTTCTAAGCCAATGGCTGGGCCCCAGGGAAAAATGGAAGACCCTAACCAAAAAAATAACCAAAGTGAAAAAAGGGTTGAAGGTATGGCTCTTGTGGTAGAGCACCTGGTTAGCAAGTGCACGGCCCTGAATTCAAACCCCAGAACCACCAAAACAAAACAAAACAGAAACCTTAGAACTTTCCAGAAACGCTGTTGCATTAATTGTATCTAGTCAGTGGTGTTTGAAAACCAGTCCATTCCTCTCAGATTTCAGACCACCCACTCCATCATTCAGACCACTCTGTCTCTTCCTCTTACATGCAGCCTGTTTTATTGGGAAGTCCCTTTTGTATTCCCCGCCTGCTTGCCACTCTCCAGTGGACTTCCCATATAGCAGTCGGACCAGTCTTTTTAAAACACAGATTAGATTATGGTTGCAACTGTTGCTTAAAATCCTCCAGTGATAATCACCTCACACCCATTAGGATGGCTACTACAAAAAGAAAAGAGAAAATAAGCATTGGTGATGAAAACCTCCTTTGAGGCATTTAATAGGTGGGTATTTTCTGATAAGCTGTTGAAGGTGGTCTCCCTGAGGGCAGGGCTTGGGGCTGCTTCATATTGTAGAGGAAGGGAAAAAGGTGAGGCTAGGCCTGATGTTACAGACAGCTACCCTTTTGGGCATTGCATGCTCCATGACACGAGGACCCCTTAAGAGGTAAGGGAGGATATTTGGAGTGTGTTGTCTTCATTCTAGAGTTCCACAGGAAAGGAAATTGACAAAACCTGTGGAAGAACCCAGAAATTATACAATCATTCGTGCTTGTTAGAGCATGTAATTCCCCTAGCAACTCTGAGAGAGAGTTGGTGGTAGCATTTGTTTTTCTCCATATTTTAGTTACTGGAGTTTGTAGGTGTGTGTTAGGAAGGGAAGTGTTTTATTTTACTTTCCCTTTTGATTACTGTGGAATGAGGGACATAATAGTGCTACCACAGTGTTGTGAGAGCAAGATGAGATGTCAGTGCCTAGAGCCCAGCTCAGAGTAATGTGCAAAGGAAAAAACATCTGATCACCAGGAATAGTCTCCGTGGAGACTGAGGCTCCAAGAGCTGGGTTACAGATCGCCTCTTCCCTTGCCATCCCCTCCCTGCTGCCTCTCCCAGCTCAGTGCTGCTTGCTTTCAGTTTCTCCCTTCTCCTGGCCCTTCTCGTTAGGTCATCTCTGCATCTCACCTCCTTTAGATAGGAATTTGTGCCCTTCAGGGTGTACTCGATTTGCTAAGGAATATAAACCTGTTTTGTTCCTTTATGCCATGCCCTTACTGTGTCAGACAAGATGATAAGCTGTCTTTCGCCCCTGTCAGAATGATGGTTGTTCTACCAAGGCTTAGAATTTTGATAACTTCTGCTTCAGTGTGTGTTAGTAGAGGCCTTCCACTTATCACACACAGCTCATCTGACTGAAGGAAAAGAGTTAGATTTGGCAGGGAAGTGACAGAGTCCCCTGGATTCTGTGTGCTGAGTAGAAACATTATCTTTGTAGCATTGTATGGGCCACAGGTTCTTAGCTCTTCCAAGCCATTGTTAGGCTTTTTAACCATGGAACCATCTTTGGGCCCAGCACTCTACGGACTGACAATTATGCTAGTAAGAGTGGAGCTGCTCTGGTAGAAAGACCCCGGAAGGAAATAGGTCCTGTGTCTCGTCCACTTTGCTTCTCCTTTTTGGCTTCCTTGGGCTACAGAAAACCTGAAACCACTGATCTAGCCTTATGGTTACAATTTATTTTATGGTTGTATTTTTAATTAAACTTTTTATTTAGAGATAATTGTAGATTTAGCATGCAGTTGTAAGAAACAGTAGACACTTTGTAGCCTCTATACATTTTACCCAATGATAGTCTTACAGAACTATTAAATATCCAGGTCATTAACATAGATGCTATGATACAAAACATTTTCATCACCACAAGGATTCCTCCTAATGCTCTTTCATAACTGTGCCCCACCCTGTGACCCCAGGTCTCCAACTCCCCTGACAATTTGTTCTCTATTTGTAGGATTTTGTCATTTAAAAAATTTTATTTATATGAGTGGAATTAGATAATATGTAATGTGACCTTTTAAATTGACTTTTCTCACTCAGCACAAAGGTCTATGCGCCATCTAGGTTTAGTGTCCTTTCATTTGCTGAGTAATAGTGCATGGATGCACCAGTGTGTTTAACCACTCACTACTTAGAGGACTGGGATGTATCCATTTAGGGCTATTGCAAACTAAGTTGCTGTGAATATTCAAGTACAAGTGTTTATGAGGTCATAATTTCATTTCTCTAGGGTAGATGCCCAAGAGTACAATGGTAGTTTTATGTTTGGTTTTGTAAAAAGTTGCCACATTGTTTGCAGAGTGTGTGCCATTTTACATTGACTACCAGTGTGTGAGTGGCCAAGTTTCTCTGCGTCTTTGCTAGCATTTGGGTTTATATTCTTCTTACTATTATTATTATTAGAGCCATGTGCTGATATCTCATTGTGGTTTTAATTTGCATTTCCCTAATAGCTAATGAGTTTTTTAGGGTTTTTTTTTTTTTGACTGAGTTGTTGTAATTTATAGTATATTTTGAGGGGGAACCATACTGGTGTTAGGCACTGGCTCTACCACTTGAATCATATTCCTTGCCCTTTTTTGCTTGTTATTGTTTGCATAGGGTCTCACATTTTTGCCCAGGGTCAAACTATGATCCTCCCAATCTCCACCTCCTGAGTAGTTGGGATTCTAGCCACCATGCCTGACTAGTTTATGGTTTTTGAAGAATTAGTTACTCTAATTCTTGTTGAATTGTTGAGTTGTTGAATTAGGTTGTTGTTTGCATTCTCTTATCTGTAGTTAGGTCTTTTAATGTTTCGTTTCATTCTTGTGTCATCTTTTTATATCAGTCTTACTAGAGGTTTAACAATTTTCTTCATTCTTTTGAAGAACTTTCTTATTGTTTTCTCTTTGCAATTTTTGCTCTTAGTTTTATAATGTCCTTTCTTCTGCTTGCTTGGGTTTGGTTTGCTCTTCTTTTTCTAGGTCTTGAGGTCACAGCTGTGACTATTGACTTGAGATCATTTCCGTTTTGTAATGTAAGCTTTTAATGCTATAAAATATCCTCTCAGTATTGTCTCAGCTGTATCCCACTTATTTTAATATGTTATATTTTCATTTGAGTTATGTTTTTTTTCAGGACTTCGCTTTGATCCCTGGATTATCTAAATGTGTGTTGCTTAATTTCCATGTATTCAGAGACTTGCTTTCTGATTTGATTTCTCGTATGATTCTACATGGTCAGGGGACATATTCCATATGATTTCAGTTGTGAGGTTTGCATAATGGCTCTGGATATGGCTCATTTGGAAACACCAATTTTTTTTTAGTTGTCCTAGAGTCCTGCCCACTCTGCTACCTCAGCCTGCCTCCAAACCTCAGATGAGATGCACATTGCTTGTCTGTCACAGGCAGAGAAAAGGGCAGGATGGTGTGGGTAGTAGGGAAGCCTTCCGAGGATCCCTCAGTTACTGAACTTACTGACAAAACTGGGCCTTGAGCCCCCAAAGCCTGCCCACCCAGACCAGGAGCCTTTGCCTTCCATGACCTTCCCATGACACGTGATGAACACACAATGAAGCTGTGGGAGGGGTGGGGTTTGGACACAGGTGTAGCCAGTCCAGGCCCTGTGCCCCTCCACCCTCACCTCTTTCTAATGGGGTGGTAAATGAGGAGGGGCAACTCAGATGCCTAAGAAGCTTAGGCCCAAATCTCGGAGACAGTGCCGGGCTGTTGCCCCCCTCACCAAGGTCGGCCGGACGGCCCATTTCCACCCTTGTAAACAGGCCAAGTGCAAGGCCAAGAGCTATCAGGACCGCCGCCGTCGCTGCCAGAATACTGTGCATAAGGTTGCCAGCCAACTGCAAGTTGACTCCTCATCTACTTCTTGCAGGACCTACAAGAACAGTGAGGAACTTCGGTCTCGTATCATATCTGGAATCATCACACCTATCCATCAGCAGTGGGACAAGCCTAGTGTAAGCAGTCCCCATCGGGAGTTCCCGCCTGCCACTGCCAGAGAGGTGGACCCACTTCGAATTCCCCCTCACCATCCTCACACGAGCCGTCAGCCTCCCTGGTAAGTGCAGGGCCCCCAGCAGGCCGTCCATGCTTCTTTAGCAGGAGCCCAGCCATTCAGCCCATCCTGCCACTTGACTCCGTACCTGGCTCCCATGTGTCTTCAACAGAATCGTCAAAGTCTTGGGATGTGGAGGTAGAAAGTGGAGATGTGAGTGGATGGGGGAGTTCTTGCACTGCTACTAGTCACCATAACCACCTGGCATCCTGGGGCTGCCTCCTCCTGTCTAGAGGCCACGTGGCCCTGAGTATGGCCAAGGGTCCTGGGTTGTTGCCCAGGTGCTTCATAGTTCTTCGTTCCGGAGTGCAGGACCTGAGCCAGGCTTTTTGAGAAAATGCAAAGATGCAGAAGTACTGACCTGGACAATCTCAGGGTCTTGCCCATTTCATTTTATTGTAGTCCCTTGATCACTTGGCAACTTCAGAAGTTTTCCAAAATAGCACTGTATGTGAGTAAGTCCCACTCAAAGTCTTTGTAGATTAGGGTAGCAGCAATAGGACTGGTGGTTTCTACTGTAGCGGAGGGAACAAAGACCAGGGGATCTTTAGTCTCTCAGCTGAGGCAGCATTTCTCAGTCTGGAGCCCATGCTGTAGAAAGGGTAGGGTGCGTGGCTAGAGGGGAGGGCTCATTGTGGGGCATATAAGAAGTGCTCAGTAAATGTTAACTGCCATTGTTATTTTATTCTGACTTGCAGTTGTATACCTTTGGTTAGTTAAAAATGGGCAATGAGTTTTTTTATTATGAGTAACAGCTGGCAAGTCTGTTTGGCAGAATCTTAAAAAAAAATGAGTCCTTTAGAGAGAATAGAAAACAGTTTTTTTTAAAAATGGCTCAAATGGTTAAGAACAACTTATCTGCTCTGACCCCCTTATTTCACAGAAGGGAACAGAGGTAAGAAGACCTGCTTAAGGTTGCCAGCCACTAATATAGAGACAGAATCAGGGCTGGCGTCCAGGTGTCCTCACTCTGCAAAGTACTCTCATCAAATCAGAGTATGGTGGCAAGATTTAAGAATAAACCCTGGACAGCTGTCAAGTTGGGGTTTGATGTGAAGTAAGTGGCCCTGTCCCTGAGCAGCCATCATAGAATATTCCTGGCTGGTGTTCTGAGCAAGAATAGCCTCTGCCTCTTTCCACAGGACATAGACCCGCGCCTCACCATTACTTTGCACACCTGCCTTTGCCTGTCCCACACCTGGAAACCTCCAAATGATAGCTAACGGTGTAGTATCTCACCTAACACCTAAAGAGATGTGTTTTGGGTTAGGGGGTGCAGCTTAAGTGATAGAGCACTCACCTAGCAAGCATGAGGCCTTGGGTTGAATTCTGTACTATAAGAAATAAAAGAAAACTTGTTTTGCTAAGTGTGTAGTGATGTGTGTCTGGAGCATGTGAATGGCTGCTGGGTCTGCAGGTTTGACACTGGCTGCTTCTGGGCTGGTGTATTCCTGGAGAGGTCTCCACTGTAATGGAGAGCTGGGGAGACAGTTGATCCTGCTCCAGAGCTCTCCAGCAAGAGACTAATGTAGAACAACCTGTCTGCGTGGATTGTTCTATTTGTTCATCCAAGCCAAACTTTTTATTGTCATTATTATCTAACCTACTTCCCTTTGCTCCATCTGTCCTCAGATATCAGGAAACTGCCCCAAATCCTTTCCCTTGTTTACAAAAACCAATTTTTCTAAACATCACTAAAAGTAAATCTTTATTATAAAGCTCTCGTTTATGTCATTCTAAATTCATTTTAATCCTGATCAGTCTGTATGTTTACATGTAATTTTTAAGTGTTCCAGATAGTTTGTGTTCTACATCTTTTCAAAATTTCATAACCCATTTATTAAAATACTAAGCACATCTTTTTTATTTATTTTATTGGTATGCTGGGATTTGCCTAGCCTCCATATATCCACAGAGTAGTAGTTCAAACATTTCTAAATTATTAATTGTAAGTAGTACAATCATGAATATCTGTGTGTATTAATTTTTTTCCATATAGCCCCTTGAGTTATAGACCCTTTGATGGCAAATTTTGCACCTTTGTTTTGGTGTTGGGAACCTTCTTGCACTCTGAAAAGTTATTTAAGACCCCACAGAGCTCTCATGTATATTATATCTATCAATATTTAGAAGTTACAACTGAAATTTTTCAAATACCCATTTACTCATACACACACATAATGGGTTTACATCTTTTGTCATATTTTTTCTCCCCTCAGAGCTTGCCTTTTTTAAATTTAAAATTCTTGATTTTTATATAATATAGATTATTAATGTTTTTGTTATATATTTGGTACTCTTTTTGTTTGAGAAATCTTTGCCCTACTATCCCAAGGTCCTGGAGAATTTCTCATCTGTTTTTTTTTAGAACATTTTATGTTTAACTCTTCAGTCCATTTAGAATTAAGTCTTCCATGTGTGGTTTGAGATTTATGTTTTCCATATGAGATCCAATTGATTCAGTGCCATATTTTGAAAAGAATATCCTCTGCCTACGCCACCTGAATAATTTAATCTTCATTTTCCTGTTATCCCCTATTCTTAAATCTTACCCTCTTACCCCCTTTCTTACACTCTTGGAGCCAAATAATCTTAACCTTTTGGTTTCTTCCCATGGAGAGCAAAATTAATAGCATTTATATATCTACTGTTGATTGAGTACTACTATTCCAGACAGTATACTAGGCATTTCATCCATGCATTCTTGTTTAATTCTCCCAACTACATAAAATCAGTGAGAGCTATCCCCATTTTATAGGTAAGAAACTGAGGTTCATGTAATTTCATCACAACAAGTAAGAAGCAGAAATCAGATTATAATAACAACAGAATATTGAATACTACTTACTGAACTTTTTACATCATACCAGGGATTATGCTCTGGTGAACTTTCTCTTTTAGTTTATATAAAAATCCTGAGAAATAGATAGTATTTCTGTGTTTTATAGAAGAAAAGGCGAAGCCTTGGAGATGTCATGACTTGCTCTAGGTCATAAAACTATCAAATGGTGAAGCTACAGTTTGAACTTGAGGCTCACTAAAGCCTTTGCTCTTTCTTATCCTCAAGTCAGTCTAAGAGTCCGTTGTGTGTCAAGTACTGTACTAGTGCGAACACATGATGAGGTGTGGCATAACCCTCAAGGAGTTTCCCATTAGCTAATTGTCCTGTCTGATCCAGACCATAAGTCTCTGAGACAATGACAGCTGAAGCTCAGAGAACAACCAATCTGAAGGACTGAGTGGGACAGAATAGAAGGAAGGCTTCATAAATATGGTGCCTGTACCATATTTTGAAAGACCAATAAAAATTACATGGTTTTGGGGGTAATTGGCTTTTACAACTAGAAGAAGGAATGGTGGTTACCAATGGGCTATGAAATCTCCTTGAGCAGGAGCGTATTTCACTTGTGCCAGCATGTGAAAGAACAGGTAAATGTAAAAGCCAGCTCAGAAGCTGGATCTGATCCTGATGATGGGAGCCACCAAAGGTTTTGAAAGTGATCTGGTTGCAAACCCTTTAACCACTGACATTTTTTTTTTTCAAGGAATCCAGTGGGTCTGTCACATAAGATGCTGACATGGTGAATACTCATTGAGCCTTTACTGTGTGCTGATCACAGTAGGGGCTCAGTAAGTTAAAAATAAGTCTATATAAAACATAATCTCTGGTAATCCTCAAATTAGAGCTCAGTAGGTACTATTGTTATCCTCATTTTATAGGAAAGAAAAACTGAGGCTCAAAGAGGCTAATACATTGCCCAAAGCATCACAGCTCCTGAGTGCTATAGCATGATTCAGCTTTTATAGTTACTGTTTGACAAGCAGATGAGGACCTGCTTCAGAGGAGGTGATCTTGGCTTGGGTTTTTCCAAGAACAAAGAGACAGTCTGTGGGGCTGGAGCAGTGTTCACTAGTGGGGTAGAAAGGTAGGAACTGACACCACAGCATCAGCTTGGCCACTTCTTGTAGAGCCCTGGGGCCAAGATCAGGGACAGTGGGAAGCCCCTGGTGTAACAAGAAAGGGACTTCATATTGCCCACATTTAAAAGAGAAAAAGATCCCCTGTCTCCTTTAAGGATTGTAGAGGGACAAGAGTAGAAATAGGAATTCCAGGGAAGAGGCTGACACAGGCATCCAGGCAGGAAATCATGGTGGTAGGTGTTAGGTGGTGGTAGACAGGTAGGTGGATCTGGGATATATTTGGAAGTGTACCTGACAGGACTTGATGATGGATTGGCTTAATGAAAGGAAGAGGAAACCAAGAATGATGCAAGTTTTGTTTTTAGTCTAAGTCATTCTAATTTTGCACTAGCATAGCCAGTGCCTTAGTGGAGATGCTCTTCATGCAGCTTGAGCATATCTCTGACTACTGCCTCGGCATACATTCCTGAAGGATTATTACATTAAGGACTAGGCCTGATTTTAAAGATTTGGATATGCACTGCCCATTTGCCCTCCTTAACATGAACGGTTTTGATTGGATTTCCCACCGTACTTCAATGTCTTTTCCCTGTCCTTGTCTCATTTTTCTTTTCTATTACTTAGGAAAACATCATCCCATGACACTTGTAAGATAACTGAGACAAATACAAGGCAAATACAAGGGAAGCTATTTGCATCATATGTGCCTTAATTTTCTTTGGTCACATAACAAATTGGCACAACTCAAGTGGTGATACAAGGCACAACCCTGTCACATAGTTCTGCAGGTCAGAAGAATGAGTACACTCAGCTGGACTTTGCTCAGAGTGTCATGAGGCCAGAGCTGAAGTCTCAGCAGGGCTACCATCCTTCCAGGAGGGTCTAGGAAACAATTTGCCTTTGGGCCATTGGCAGAATTCAGTTCCTTGTGGTTGTGAGACTTATTCCTGTTCTTTTCCTTTAGCTCCTTAAGATCCCTGCATTTCTTCTCATGTGGCCTTCTCTGCCTTTAGCACCAGCCATGATGTATCAAGTCCTTCTCAGGCTGGTGGCTCAACCCTATAATCCTAGCTATTCTGGAG